AAGTTTTTAAAAAGGCCAATAACCCTAATTTGGAATGGGCCGTTCCTAAATTGGAACGGGCCGTTCCAACATGGGAACGGGCCGTTCCAATATTGGAACAGGTCGTTCCAAACGTTTCAGTAGAGGGCTATTAGACAAAAAATAGGGTGAAGAAATAAGAATCAAAATTCCGATAGGATACGTCCTATGCAAAAATTAGGGATACATAAAAATTAAAATAAATAAAAAGAGCAACGCCTGCTCGAGTTGAAGACCGAAAGGCAGCTTGAGTATTCCCTTTAGAAAGAAAGAATTCATAAAGGTTTCACTCCGAAGTCGAAACACCCACATTCAAGCAAGTGGGAATGCATTCCTAACGTAGTTCAACCAATCGTCAACCATGCCTCTCTAGGGGGCAGCCTCGGTTAATCTCTCTGTGTACGAATCACGAACTCGGGGCATGCCCGGGCCTTCGAGCTTTGCTAAAGGGGCACGTGTAAATTGGAAGTATTGTTTTAAATGTCATAACATTCTTTCATTTCTCTTCTCCCTTTAAATATTCACTCTAGGCCTCATCCATTAACCCTTAATAAACAAAATGTATTTGTGACAAAGATGTTACTCAGTAATAGCATGGAAAGGATAACAAAGGAACAATCAGGAATTCAAACATGACTAGGGTTTGATAAAATAAAGACATCCCATACCTCATGAGTGCTGCAAAAAAATGAAGGCCCGACAGGAAACCCACTAAGGGGGCTGTGCAAAAGTTAGGGCAAGATCTGCTAGGCAACCCACAAGCAAAATTAGGTAACCTAGGCAAAAGAAAAGATCAAAAGAAAAATGTCCGCTAGGGAACACATCTCAAGTGACCTAGGCAAAAGTTAGGACGTTAAAGCAGCAACCTGAGTTGAAAACCGAAAGGCAACTCAGAGGAATCATCCAATTAAAGTACAACCCTGAGTCATCACTCCACTTTCCAAAAAGGCTAAAACACAATGATAGCTTCCTTGCAGCAAATACGTTTTGTTTAATAACCCTAAACACCAGAGCCTACCTTGGCCAGCCCTTCTTCTAAAAAACCCTTTTTGAAAAATCCCTTCTAACAACCCTCTTGAAAGAAAAAACAAAATAATAATAATAACATTCCTTCCTTCTTTTCTCTTGACCCTTATGACATTAAAATGGTACTGAAAGGATACACGGAGAATGCACAGTGAATACTCACAGAGGGAAGGATGAGATGTCCTCAAACAGAGGTTAGAGACACTTGACCACACATCGACTGGATAGTCAAGGAGCCACTGAAGCTTGGCTCAAAAGAACATATCCCGACAGTAATCAAGATTGGCATGGATAGAAAGAAATCGTCAACATTAACCTTAATGCGTACAGGTTAATTTCCCGACATAAAAAAATGAATTGCATCTTTAGGAACAAACACCTGAGCATAAACTGCATCGCATCGCATTTTCATTGCATCCATACATCCATGCATGCTACTTGCTATGGGTCAGAAGAAGTCATCAGGACAAAGCACTCGTAAAAACTCAATAGCCAAGCATGAGTCGAAGCGGGGTCAAACGGCAACCCCAAGTGATTCTATGTGCCCACTAAGCAAAGACATATGAATAGTGAAATATAATGGAATCAACCAAATAAGCAAACCCATAAGCATGAAGAGGCCATCGCGCCCTACCCCTCAATTGAATGAAGGATGATCTAAGAGAGTGTCAAGACCAGAAATGGCTCCCTAACCAAAGCCAGGAGTGGCTTTCCAAAAAATAATCATCAATAAAAATTTTGCAAATAACATCATCATGGGATGTGATCCCTCCACCAATGATGACAACAAAATATAAAATAAAAAAAAGGCAAGCTTCGTACATGTTGAAAAAGCCGAAGCATTTAGAAAAATAAAACAGAAAAAAGGCCAGCTTCGTACATG